GTGCGCACAGACATTTCCTCAAAGAAACGAGGCTGCCCGATTCTTGCCCTTCGAAAAAATTTTTCTCCGTGACTGGCCGTGGACTTCATACTCTTGTTTTTGGGTCGATGCTTGGCATTTGTTTATGGAGGCTTTTATGTCAAAGCTTTAAGACCTTTTTGCAGCTCAGGTGCTCCTGAGCTGAAGATGACAGAGTAAGGGAAGTGGTAAGGGGAAAAGTAAATGCAGAGCTGTCTGGTTCTGGGGAAGAGGAGCCGGCACAGTCCATCCTGCCTCTCCCACTAAACGCTGCTATAAAACCTGGGTAGAACGCACGGAGCAGCAGGAGGAGGACCCTGAAAAGCAAATGGAGGTAAGAGAACGAGGGAAGGACTCCTGGATTCAAAGTACCGTGGGGCCTGTGCTGTGTTTCCCATTTTTTCCCCACCAGCACTGCCCAGCCTGGATTCAAGGCAGCCAGAAACCCAGACCTGGGCCTCAGGGCACCTAGTTTGGCTCCCAGAGTCAGAAAGGGGTCTCCTAACGCCGAGAGAGGGGCAGATCCCTGTTGTTCTTTTGTTTTTTTTTCTTCTTTTCTCCATCTTCTCCTGCCTCAGCCCCCGTGGGATTTTGAAGTAATCCTATGAAGAAGACTGGGGGGCGGAGGAGCCCGGTCGCCCTAAACTCTGAAGGAGGGGCCCTTCCTTTCTGATCACAGGAGCTGTGGTCCCCAGAGCGTGGAGAAAACTTTCTGTTCTTCTCAGTCCTCTCACTGCTTGACCCCCAAGTTCAGTTGTGAGAACTGCACAGAGAAGCAGAGAAACTGAAGCCCCAGGGCTCTGGCCAGAGGACTGGACAAGGGGGCCCCCGGCATCTGGAAGGACCAGGGGGAGCGGCTCTGGAGAGCAACCCCCGAAGGGTGTTTATGCCAGAGTCTGCTAGAACCATCAGCCTGTCCCAGGCGGCCACATGGCGATGCACGTGGAACAGCTGGACAGCACTGAAAAGTCAAGATGGATCTGACACGGGAATCACGACCCCGAAGCCAGGCTGGGCTGTGGGGTCCGAACCTGACGAGATTGATCGTCTACCGTGTCGGTTATCAACTTATTGCCTTTCAGCTCTGAATGCCCCTTTCAGTGTATGCACTCTGTGAAATAAACAGCTTTAAAATGAATACCATGTAAAAATTTCTCATGGGAGGACAGTGTGGTAGGAAGAAGCGTCCTGCCTTTTTCATCGTGGGCAAGGGGTCGGCCGTGTGAGACATCTCTGGGAGTCTGGCCCAGCCGTGGGTCCAGAACATGGTTCTTTTGCAACCTGGCAGCTTTGGCTAGCAAAAATCTTTCTTGCAGCTCGCTTGACCCCCAAAACAGAGCCCTCGTGATAGCCCGTGTGTTCTGAAGGCCTCCTGTTCATGCTTGTACTTGGACTTTCTCAAGCAAACTTCCACGTGGCCTGCACGCAGCCTCCTGTGGTCTGAAAGGTGACACACCAAGATGCCATTCCTGTTGCGAGTCGCTGTGTGGCCCTCACTCTGAAGGCCTCCTGCTCCTGTCGGCCCTGCCTGCCCAAGCCACCGGTTGCTTTCCACCTGCCCTCTGGGAGGTGGCCTCTCAGTGGGCAGCCCGACCAAACCAGAGAGAGAGAGGGCTTCTCTGCTATCTGGTGGGCCGAAACGCAACTTCTAAAATGAGGTCTAAACCCCTTTCTTGGGCACTCTCCCTCTGCTCTGGGGTGTGGGTGGAAAGATAGAAAGTATCAGCAAAGAAATAAAAGATATAAAGAACCAAATGAAATAGACGATAATTGAAATAAAATACTCCTCGGATAGGCTTGTGAACGTGATGGAGATGACAGAGGGAAGGTCAGGAAACCAGAAGATAGAGGGCTGCATATTACTGATCCGAGAAAAAGAGAGAAGAGCTTTATAAAAAGTAAACAGAGTCTACGGCCTGGTTAGTACTTGGATGGGAGACCATCTTGGAATACCAGGTGCTGTAGGCGTTAAAAAACAAAAAAACCAAAAAACAGGGCCTCAAAAATCTACGGAACAATATCAAAAGGCATAATATTTGTGTTTTCATTGTCCCAGAAGGAGGGGAGAAAGAATGCAGTGCAGAAAAAAACAGTCGAAGGAATAATTGCTGAAAATCCCCAAATTTGGCAAAAGATAAAACCTACTGATTGGAGGAGCTAAGGGAATCCTGAACAGGATACACTCAAAGAAATCCACGCCCAGATTCATCCTAATTAAACTGAGGAAAACGAAAGACAAAGAACGGATCTTGAAAGCATTGAGAGAAGAAGGATGCATCACTTATGGGAATATTATGATTCAAATGACTACAGATTTCTCATCAGAATCCTGGATGCCAGAAGAATCCCAAAGCACGGAAAGGAGTGAATTGTGTCAGCTCAGGATTCTACATCCGACAAAAAGAATTTTCAGGAATGAAGGTGGAGGAAAGATACCCTCAGATGGCAGAAGACAGAATTTGTCAGCGACTTCCTCTAAAAGAGTCGTTAAGGGAAGATTTTTAGAGCAAAGAGAACTGACAGCAGAGGGAAACTTTGGACAACGGGAATGAAAGAAGAACAACAGATATGCTGTATGTCAGGGCAGAGATGATGGGCTCGCTTTCTCCTTCTGACTTCTTTAAAATAAATGTGATCATTGGAAGCCAAAAGGATAGCCCTGACTGATGTAATACGTAGGACAACTACAACGGAGAGGTGAGGCATGAGGGGTCCTATAGGGTAGGAATGTTTCTACATCTCACCTGAGATGGTGAAATATTGTTTCTAAGTAGACTAAGAAGTTAAGCGCGTATCTTATATTCCTTAGGGCAACCGTGAAAGATGAAAGGCTACACAAAGAAACGTAGTAAAAAAACAAAAAACAAAAAACAAAAAAAAAAACACAAGAAAATTAAAAAAAATGTCCAGGTAACACAAAAGAAGGCAGGAAAGTGTAAAAGAGGAAAAATCAAAAAAGGATCAAACAGAACATGAATAATAAATTTAGACCTACATGCAAACCTATCAGTAAATTGCCTAAGCATACCAATTAAAAGGCATTGCCAGAATGGGTTAAATAAATGATTTAATAAGATGTCTACAAAATCTCACATCAAATATAACCATATATTTAGGTTAAAAGTAAAAGAGTGGAATCAAGAACATGAGAAGACAGCTCGCGAAATGGAAGAAAATTTTTGCAAATCATGTCTGGTAAAGGACCTGTCTCTAGAATACACAGAGAACTATTACAAGCCAACAATAAAACGACAGCCCAATTAAAAAATGCGCAAGGCGTTCGAATAGACATTTCTCCCAAGAGGGTATACAAATGGCCAACGAGCACTTGAAAAGATGTTCAATGTCATTAGCCATCAGGAAAATACAAATCAAAGCCACAATGAGATATCATTTCGCACTTGCTGGGACAGCTATGACAACGAAAAGATAAGTGCCGAGAGCATGTGGAGAGACTAGAACCTTCGTGCACTGCTGGCGGGAATGTAAACTGATGCAGCTGCTTTGGAAAACAGTCTGGCAGTTTCTAAAATGGTTAGACATGGAGTTATCAGATGACCCTCCAGTTCCACTCCTATGTATTTACCCACGAGAACTGAAAATATACGTCCTCATAAAAACTTGAGCCATTTGTTCCTTTGTTAGAAATCTCTTTTAGGGAAAGGGGTTTCGAGGGAGACAAAGACAGTCCTAGATGTCAGAATTAAAAAAAAAAATAGAGGAATAAATTGGGGTCAGCATTTCAGCTCTTTACACTAAAATTATAGACTGCAAATGTTCAGCTGCACAAATGCAAGCTCGTGTTCCCAGCACATTGGCAAGTCATGAGCGGAGAGTACGCGCTTGAGTCAGAAGATGAACTGTTTGGCTTTGCCTCCTCACTGACTACTAGTTAGAAGTGTCTGGAGTTAGAGCAGAGAATATGCCTCAGCCCTGCTGTTTGCCAGCCGACGCTCCGTGTGTGTGTGTGTGTGTGTGTGTGTGTGTGTGTGTGTGTGCAGATGGGAATGGGTTTAGCCAGATTTCGACGCTGTAGCTAGGGGGAGTTTAAAACGATCTCTAGAAAGCTATTTTACTTAGACAAGGGAAATAAATATAGCTCAGTGGAATAAACATTAGAATGCGCTTTTATGTCCTGATAATTTTTTTTTCAGTGAGCAGATAATCACTTAAAACAAACAAGTAAACATGAACTGGGAAAAAGAAGAGAGAAAACTCCGAGAGGCCCGAGAGCGAAGCAATCTGGATGCACATCTTTTATTCACTATTCATTCATTCGTTCATTCATTCATTTACTTATTAATTCAGTAAACATTTATGGAGGGCCTACTATGTGCCCGGCACCGTGCTAGGTCTCACTTACTCAGATGTGAGTCTGACTTTCCTCGCACTTGGAAAGTTACATAAAGAGAGGTCAGCAGCTCTTGAGGATTTACATCGCTGGGGAACCTCACAGAACATGTCTCCAGGCTGTGTGGTCATTCCCAGGTGGGAAACTGCTCAGGGGGGCTTGGCACAATATTGTGCTTTTGTTACTTAATCGTGTCCACTGTGTAGCCTCAGATAACTCTGTGTGCGTGTGTGTGTGTGTGTGTGTGTGTGTGTTTCTGGTTAACTCAGCAAACTTGCCCTTGAGTATGTTACAACCTACTGAGAAGATTAGATGCTAGTAACCTCAATAGAATGTGGAACCATGAAGCCTGAGGACTCCCCAGGGGCCTTCAGCTGAGGGGGAGGGAAACGAGTAACATCTGGAAGAGCCGACTCCAGGGCGAGCGCTGCACTTTGACTCACACAGAGGATTATCAGACTAAGAACATTAGCAAACTGCCCCTTGGAAGGGAGAAGGCATTTTACCACTACTTAGGACAACTGATGCATTCACGTTTCCGTTTAAAGTTCATAGTTAAACTGTTTTCTTCAGTGTGTGTATAGCTGACACACATCTATATTTTTTAAATAGGTAATTTCATGCTCCCAAAATGGGGCATAAAGTGGTCGTATTCGACATTTCCGTCATCAGAGGCTTGTGGGAAACCCGTGTCAAGAAGCACAAAGCTTGGCAGAAGAAGGAGGCGGAAAGGCTCGAGAAAAGTGCCTTGGAAAAGTACGTGATTTTTCTGTACTTGCTTGTAGCTTCTTGAGAGAAAGGGACCAGGGCAGGTGAGCTTTGAGGTGTGCAGGGGGTTGCTTCCGGGATTCCTCACTGTCAGTGACACCTGCTCAGTGGACTTCAGAACCTTCACGCTGTCAGAACGAACATTCGATTCCTATAAAGTAACACCCATAGCTGTAAGATCCCACATGCATCCTGGGCAGCATGCTAGGCACGGAGAAGACAGTGATGACATGATAAATTCCTCTACGGCTAGTTCCGTAGATGACGGCTTAGCTCACTCCCTGGGCTGCTGCCGCCCTCCATGCCCCTGTGCG